ACCAGAATAAATCTGGGCAAACTGAACCGTCTGCATGATCCATGAAAAATAAATCTCCTTTTTCCATTTGAATATCCAACTTATGCATCCTTAAAGCAGAAGATGGTGTGTGACCTCTCTTGAAGTACTCATGGAATAAAGCCTTTGTTTCCTTTGTAGGTCTTCGATACCGAAGAACATCAGAGGCCTTGATTGGGTGGTTATGCCAGTGGCGAATCCTTACTTCCAGTGGATGACTCTTCAAAAACTTATCTTTACTCCTGCAACAGCATAATTTCAATTCAGGTGGTATAACAAAAAATATTTAAAAAGCAGGTTTCTTAGTAACCAAATAAGCGTAAAGACCAAACCATTCACAATACAAGAATAGGACAAGCAGTAAAAACTGTGAGGAAATTGGCATTGAGAACAAAACACTGGCTTTATGCACAGGGATCAAAATTTATATCAGTGCAAATATAGCTCCATTTCTCTAAGTAGAATAGAGAAACAAATTAAAGAAAATGGATGAGAAGAGCAGTTAAAACACAATAAATCAAATGGGAGTATTAACACATCTAAAAATTATCACACCACTAACGCAATGTGTTATATATGTTATAAAAATTGTTTTCATCTTGGCAACGATTGGAATTTTGAGGATAAGGGCTGGTGAAAGACACCAAATGATAAGAACTACCAAACAGTCAAAAATAATGAGGCAAGCACACACACCATTAGATCTGTAATATAAGCCAGTCCAAAAACACCAAAAATCAAATTTCAGCATACCTCCTCCTGTTAAACTGCAATTAGTCATGGCTTACCTTCAATATTTCAGTCAAAATTAAATCTTCTTCTCTACAAAAAGCTGACTACTTCCCTTTGTGAACAACAAATAAATACTAGAGGTCTGCTTGCTAGTATGGGAAAGGAAAACTCTTTTGAACCCAACAAAAGACTTGTCATAAGTTTGTCAAATTGGCATATATTTTATCACTGTATAGTCACTAACATCAACCAGCTATCATACATTTATCATCAAATGGAGAGTTTGAAATATGCTCAAGTTTATAGGCAATGATATCAGACATTGCAATCTGACAAATTCATGACAAATCTCAAATCTCTGCTTGTTGGGGAGGTGATTGTCACTCTGCCTGTTCTAGAAAAAAAGCAAGGAGTATCATTCAAGATTATACTTTTGGTAAACTGTTACCTGAGAAGTTACTTGAGATCTGATTAGGACAGTAAATAACTGATTTTAATATGAATTCAAAGCTAGAACATTCTAAATGATGCAAAGCAGCAGACACCTCTAAAAAGGGAAATTAGACAAACAAAATAATTGAATCTTAGTCTGAATGTTTGAACCAACAAAGCAAAGATCATGGTTACAATGAAATGTTAATTTCAGTGTCTGATCAAAATTTTATATGGCACTTAACTTTGCTGGTAGAAACATAAAGACACATTTGATAAGAAAGGGACAGAGCCAATTTCGCCAGCTGACAGCAGGAGTCCTGCAAAAAACACACTGTTCAATGAGACGCTCTCTCTCACCATCAATAAGAGGTTAAATGTAGAAATGTATCAGTTATAAGAAATAAAACTTGACAACATACCGGGCCATATTCCTATTTTTAATTGTGATCATGACTCTTGCAGGACACTTCACATGCTTTGCATGGTGTTTCTTCGATTTCTTAAAATTAGGTAACGTGTCATGATGGCAACGAAACTGCTTCTGCTCAAAACAAAAGCAAAAAGTACTATTTTGTTCACAATTTTGATCTTTAGGGTTTTAAATAATCATGAAAAATTAACCAAAAAGTATAAATACCTTGAATAGTACTTTGTCTTGTTTGAGCTGGGGCCATGTCTTCAAGGATCTAATGTCAGTAAAAGATGAAGCCTGGAAGTGCTCTAGCCAGTCAAGAGCTTCCTCCTGAGTAGTCATAGGAAGCCTGATCACTGCTGTTATGGCACCATCCATTTCACAGTACGGTTGAACCGCTTCAATTAAATGATTAAATTCGGCAGGCAACAGGGACTGGAAAATAAGGACAATAAGTACTCAACTATCAAATTAAGTGGTTCTTTTTAAATGTAGTACAACTATTCATTTAACTGGTGTACAAACCTTCAGTTGTTTTTCTGCATCGGGGTCAATACCACATATATTCCAGTCTGCTGCTTTTGAAGGTGATTTATTATTTACAGATTTTGAGAATGGACCAATAGTTACTTTTGACTTTCTTTTCTTCTTAGAAATGAAGCAGTCACTCATGCTGGAATCTGAATCCTTAAAACAAAGGGAATAAAATTTTATTTAGGCACTCTAGGGACAATTAATTGTCAGGGAAAGGAAACGTGCATGAAAAGAAGCCACAAACCTCTTCCCTTGATTCAATGTTGTGATGAGGACTGTGATGAGGACTGGAATCTACAATTGAAATGAAGGAAGTTAGTTAGGATGTAAAATAGCCATAACTAGACTACTTCTAGATGGGACCTCACCTACATCATTATTGGCAAAACTGTCAGTTATAGCACCACCAAGAGTTGATGTGTCATCAATAGTTTTGAAATTTAATGTAGAACTAGCAGAGATAGTGCTAATAGATGTGACACCTTTATTCAAATTAAGAGATGAATCATCAGAAAATAGTGAGCGTACTACGTGCTTCTGTCCTTTCTGCACTGAGAGGCTTAGCCTGCTTTTCTTGATCGGACTGACTGCAACGACAAACAAATACCCATGGAAAACTTGTTAGACATGTACAACTGATATGATAATTCTTCTCACCTTTCATGTTAACAGCCTTCAATGGGCTAGTGCTGCAGACTTTGTACAGCCTTTTGAGGCTCTGTAATGGTGAGGCTGCTGAAAAATGAAATCAATGTTTTCCCATCACATTGAAAGGAG